CAGAAAAAATGATTGCTACCAACCTGCCTTCCATTGAGGATCTGTATACTGCATGAATCAAAAAGAGGGCTATGAAAATATTTACAGACCCCTCACATCCTGGACATAACTGTTTCAAGTCCTACCCTCAAAGTGATGCTATAGAGCACTGCACACCAGAACAACTAGACACAAAAACAGTTTTTTCCTGAATGCCATCACTTTGCTAAACAAATAATTCCCTCAACACTGTCAAACTATTTACTAAGTCTGCACTATTATTAATCTTCTCATCGTTCCCACCATCCATCTCCTTCCACTTATGACTGTATGACTGTAACTTTGTTGCTTGTATCCTAACAATTTATATTGATATGGTTTCCTGATTGCTTATTTGTACCCTATCTATCATTAAGCGTTATACCTAATGATTCTTGATGAATGTATCTTTTCTTTTATATACACTGAGAACATATGCACCAAGACAAATTCCTTGTGTGTCCAATCACAATAAAAAATTCTATTCTATTCTATTCTATTCTATTCTATTCTATTCTATTCTATTCTATTCTTTTCTTTTCTTTTCTTTTCTTTTTCTTTTTATTAAGTTTTTGATTTAAGAACAAAACACAAAACACAAAACGATACCCAGTGTATAATACAAAATAGGGAGAAGCGGAGGAATTTTTTCTTCATCTTCAGGTCTTCCAAAATTCTCTTTGCATTGGCACTGGCATTATTTCTTCCAAATTCCCAGTTGCGTAGTCCACAAATGGTTGCCATATCCTCCAAAATATATTTTCTTTCAATAGTCCTTTTTTGAATTTTATATCACACGTTAACTTATCATTAAGAGCAATTTTCCAAACTTCTCTGGACCATTCATTTATTTTGTATTCAATATTCAATTTCCAGTATCTTGCAATCACAATTCGTCCCATAATGACCAATATCCTTACAAGCTCTCTTTCATCAATTGTTAACACCTTATCATTCAACTTTAGTATGAGGATGGTATCTACTCCCAACTTTACCTTCTTTTTAATTATTTTACTAGATTCTTCTTCTATTCATAACCAAAAATTCTTCACTTTACGACATCCATACCACATGTGTTCGTATGTCCCATTCTCCACTTTACATCTCCAACATAACTTACTAGCACTTTTATTCATTTTATATAATCTTATTGGGAACAGGTACCATTTCCAGATAACTTTATAACTATGCTCCTTTATTCTTATTGATAAGGTCCTCATTATTCTACTATTCCAATTCAAAATCCATTCCTGTTCTGTAATATCTGTTTCTAAATCTTTTACCCAATTATCTTTCATCACCATTTGTAAGTTACTATCCAAATTAATAATTTTATATACCTTACTAACCAATCCCTTAATTCCAATTTCTTCTATTCCTAATTGGGATACTCTTTCTTCAAATTCCGTTTTTAACCTTTTTACCCTCGTTCTGTCCTTATATTTCTTATTCCAATTATTAACCTGTATCTTCTCCCACCAATTCAACTTCCACTTTTCATATATTTCCTCTTTTTTAAAATCATCTCTTACCACGTTTATCCATTCTTTTATTCCTTCCAGATTTTCCTTTTTTAACACCTGTTTCCTCTCCCTATTTAAATTTATGGGAAAATCCCCATCTTCCAAATTCCCCAATTGTAATCTGTCTGGAATCAATTTTCTGTCAAATTTACTCCAAGTTTTCAACAAACTATTTAACAAATCATTTCTAACTTTAATTTTTTCCGGTATATTCTCCATAAAATATATTCTTCCCCATTTTTCAATTTCTCCCAACTCCAATTTTTCCCATAATTCGTTTCAACCAACAATTATTTTAACTACAGTCCTCACTTGAAAGGATCTATAATAATTAATCAATTTAGGTATCCCAAGACCTCCTTCCTTTTGATTTTGATACCATAATTTTTTAACCATCCTAGCCCTTTTATCACCATTACAAAATTTGTCAATTGTTGAAAGGCAATTAAAACTGGAAAGAAGAAAATAACAGCAGCTCTGGAAAAGAGAACTGTTAGACTAAGTGTGCACATGAAAGGAATTTTGAATGTTACACAGTTGTGGACTTTTATATAAAATCGAAATTCTTTCTCTCTCTAGCTCCATTCTTCCACTTCACTAATAATTTTATTTTTAAAAACATTTTAAAATATTGGAACAGATATATACATATATTTTTTCTCCCTTTTTTTTATTCCTTTATTCCTTCACAATAAATGTTTACTTAATTGGATTAAGGCACATAAGAGCCTGAAGAAATTCCTTTTTTTCCCTTTCTTCTCTTTTCTTTTTTTAATTTACTGATTGGAGATTGTTATTTGAATGGGTTTTTGGCTATTTTACACAATTGGATTAAGACATACAAGAGTCTGAAGAAATTTTCCCGTTTTCTCCTTTGGTCTCTTTTTTTTTTTTCTTTCTCACTTGTTGATTGGAGATTTTTACTTGAATTTGTTTTTGGCTATCTCAGATGATTGGATTAGGGCACACAAGAGCCTGAAGAGTGTTGTTTTTTTTGGGGGGGGGGTTTCTTGCTTTGCTGCATTTTCCTTTTTTCCCTTTTTTTGGCTTTTTTCTGTTTTCTCTTTTTCTTTTTAATCTTTTGTAATCTCCTGCCATCTACAAAACAGATTAGGGTTGAGAAGAACCTGAAGATATATTACCCTACCGTGTCGAATTGGATTACTTATAGAAATGAGCAAAAAAGCAGCAGTTATTAGTTCTGCCGGATCGACCCCTTCTTCATCACCAGCGGGAGGACAATGATCAATACAGATGATGATTCAGCAGGAAAAAGAGAAAGAACATGAGAAAGAAAAAGATGCAACAATGCAGATGATTTTGCAAGGAATACAAGACATAAAATCTAAAATAGAGAAAACAGATGAAAAAGTGGAGAATATACAACAGATGATGAAGAAATATGAAGACAGACTTGAAAAAATTGAAGAAAAAGAGGAACAAAGAGATAAAAAAATCAGAGATATGGATTATAGATTAGAAGAAGTTGAACGTGATAGAAGCAGCTTAGGATGGGAGATGGATAAATCAGAATTTTACTTAAGATTTCAAAATGTGGAGGAAGAAAAAGGAGAAAATTTGGCGGAAAAAATGATAGAAATTCTTGCAGGAGCTCTAGAAATTTCTAAAGAAAAAATGTTTGATGGCGTTGATGAAATATACTGAGTATATACTAGGTATGCAATGAGAAATAAACTACCAAGAGAAGTCCACATAAGATTTACCAAAAAATCAATCAAAACACAAATATTGCAGATAGCAAAAGAGAAGGCGTTACAATACAAGAGCAAGGAAATTATGGTGCTAAAGCAAATAGCGAGAAGAATAAGAGAGCTGAGAAGAGAGTATCAATTTTTGACAAAAATACTGCTCCAGAAAGGAGTGAACTACAGATGGCTGATACCAGAAGGATTGGTGTTTACATGGCAAACACAAAGATTTAAAATAGATTCAATTGACAAAGCTAAAGCATTTCTTGTGGAATATATAAGAGAAAAAGATGTGCCAAGAAGGGAAGAGTCACTGCTCCAACTAGAAGAAGAGGATCTCCTGATGATGGGAAAGGAGGAGAGCGCATTAGAAGGCGCAGTAGGAGGTGCCATAGAATACAAAGAACAACGTGAATTGAGACCTAATAGATCAACAAAACCAACACATAAAGTATAAACATGGAGGAGAAAAAATTAATCACAATAAATATAAATGGACTTAATATAGCAACTAAAAGAAGAAAGATATTTCACAAATTGGAGAAATTGAAAATGGACATAATTTATTTACAAGAAGTGCATATTAAAAAGCAGCATGAACCACTTTTGGTACAGCCCAAACTAGGGAAATTATTTGCTTCACTGCCACAATGTAAGAAAAGAGGAGTGGTTTTGTACATTAAAGATACAACATTAGCGGAAAAAATTTATGAAGATGGAGAAGCACGAATTCTGATGGTGGAAATAACAGACAATAACAAGAAAATATTGTTAACAGCGATATATGCTCCTAGTGACAATCAAGAAAACTTTTATAGAAAATGCTGGACTACGAAAACATCTGTATGATGGGAGACTTCAATGGAATAGTAGATGAGAAAATGGACTATTATACACAAAAGACAACAAAACAAAGTAGGAAAACTTTGCCAAAATCTTTTTTTAAGATGATAGAGGAAATAAACTTAAAAGATATATGGAGAGAAAGAAATGCAGAAAATAGACAATATACTTTTTACTCCAATAGACATTTATCATGGTCTAGAATAGATATGATATGATTGACAATGGACTTGACCTCGAATATAGAAGAAATAGTCATATAGGTTAATACCTGGGCAGATCATAATCCAATGATGATGAGTTGGAAAGGACAAAGGAGAAGGTCCAGATGGACTTTAAACACTACAATTTTAAAAGAAAAGGATTTCCTACAGAAGATGGAGAAAGAATTAGCTTTTTTTTTTAAGAAAATAGAAAAGAGGATACATCACTGCAGAATTGATGGGACACCATGAAAGCCTATGCCAGAGGCCTGATTATAGACTATATAAGGAAAAGAAATATTAAGAAAAGACAAGCACATAAAACTTTAGAGGATGATTATAAGACATTAGAAAAAGAACTGCAGAAGTTCCCACACACACAAAAAAAAAACACATTAAAATAAAAATGGATATGATTAAACATAAAATGGGATTATTAGAGAAAGAAGGGTTAGCACAAAAAATCAGGAATGCTAAACAGAAATATTTTGAAGATGCTAATAAACCAGGCAGATGGCTAGTGTATAAATTGAAAAAAGAAAGAAGCTCAAGGAAAATAACTCAGCTAACAGATGATCAAGGACAAATTAGATTTGGAAATGAGGAAAAGAAGAACATTGTACAAGACTATTACAAAAAATTATATGAAAAGGAAAAGATAGAAGAGGAAAATATTAAACAATATTTACATAAGGCGAACTTACCTCAGATCCCAAAAGATGTTGAGATGATGTTAGAATGGAATATAACAATGATGGAGTTGACAGAGGCTATTAAAAAACAAAATTTAATTTCTTATACTTCCCGATTTTCTCATCAATTTCTCTTATCAGTCTGTCATAATTCAACTTTTGCATTTCATTCATCTTTGTTGATAATATTATTCCTAAGTATCTTATATTTTCTTTAACTTTTATTCCAAATTGATTTTTAAATTTCTCTTTTCCTTTTTTTATATCCCAGTTTAATAACATTTCTGATTTAGCCCAGTTTATAGATAATCCAGTAAACTCTTCAAATTCCTCTAAATGCATCTTAATCTTTTCAATATCTTTTTCTGGATTTTTCATTACAATCAGGGTGTCATCAGCATACAAATTAATTTTAACACCTTTATATCCAATAATATCTTCGTCTTCTTCTATTTTTACTGCTAAGATCTCCATAGCTAGTAAAAACAATACTGGAGATAGAGGACACCCTTGTCTTATACCCGCTTCCAAAATTATCTCTTTTGTTAAGATCCCATTCACTTTTACTCTGGCAACCCCCTTTTGATATAATTTTGAAATAACTTGAGTAAATTTATCTCCAAATCCATAAGCCTTAATCAATTCTATAATCGTTTCCCATTGAATTGAATCAAATGCTTTAAATATATCCAACGCTAATATTCCTATTCTATCCTTATTATACTCTGCAATATTTATAATATTCAAAACTCTCCTAACTATGTCTGACATATATCTACCTTTCACAAAACCTACTTGATTACCATTTATATATTTGTCTATAAAGCTATTTAATCTATTCGCTAAAACAGCTGTAAATATTTTTGCATCCTGATTTATTAGGGAAATAGGTCTATACGATTCTACCAATTCTAAATCTTTTCCTGGTTTGGGAATCAAAGAAATCAGTTATCTATTCCAAGACGCTGGAATATCCACACCATGCAAAATTTTGTTATACAATTTTTCTAATTTTGGCACTATTATGTCTTTAAATTCCTTATAAAATTCTGCCGGCAACCCATCCTCGCCTGGTGCCTTCCCCAATTTTAATTTTTGGATCGTTTCTATAATTTCTTGCTGGGTTATACTTCTCTCCATTTTTTCCTTATGTTCCATTTCTATTTTTCTATGTTCATATTTTTTTCAAAAAGTCCTTCAATTTCTTACTATTTCCTTTTTAGAGTAAAGTTTTTGAAAACAAATTCTAACAATCTCACATTTATCTTTTTTCTTATTACATCTTTTACCTTTTTCATCTATTAATATTCCAATTTCTCTTCTACATTTCTTATCTTTAGCCATCCTTGCCAATAATTTAGAATTCTTATTACCAAATTCAAAAAATTCTCTTTTCAAATACATTAAATTCTTTTTAACAACTTCAATATCTTCAATTACCTGCTTATCTTTTAATTGTCTCAATTCTTCCCCAATTTTTTATTTTTAGTTCTTGAAAATTCGATTTCTAATTCTTGTATTCTTTTCCCTTCCATTTCCATTTTTTTATAATCTTTATATTTTTTATATGACAATTTTATACTTTCACCCCGAAAAATCACCTTCATTGTATCCCATACCACATTATAATTCACTTCATCATTATCATTCCATTTCCAATTTTCCTCCCAAATTTCAATCATTCTTTTTTTACCTTCTTCATTTTTATACAATTTAGCATTATACCTCCAATTATTTTCTTTCTTCTCAGTGTATACATTCAACTCCATAATTACATTTGCATGATCTGATTCTTTAAATATCCCAACATCAACTTTTCCAACTCTATAAATCTCTTGACACCATAATATAATCAATCCTTGAATATGGATTGATTAGAATGGAAAGTATAAACCCTTTCTTGACCTTTAATTTCTCGCCATGTATCAAATATTCCGTTTTCTATCATCCAATTATCTAATATACTCATTTGAACATTATCACCATACCGGGTTACATTAGTAGTATCATATTTACTTCGAATAAGATTGAAGTCACCCGCCACAATCAATCTGCCCTTACTTTCTTTCCGCAGTATTTTTGATATTCTCATCAGGAATTCATTTTGTTTTTCATTAGGTGCATAAATATTAACCAATGTTACAGTTTCTTCGTTAATATTACCAACAATTATCAAATATCTACCTTCGGAGTCCACTACACTTTTTAATTTTTCAAATTGAACCCTACTTGAAATTAAAGTTGCGACCCCTCTCAATTTTGAGGTTCCAAATGCTTTCTCATAGAACTGTATTCCTTTTATATACAACTTATTTGAATCCTCGGACTTTTGATGAGTCTCTTGCAAAAAGATTATATCAGGTGACTCCCTTCCCATTTTTAATTCTAAACGTTTTCTTTTAATTTGATTCCCAGTGCCTTTAACATTCCATGACATAATTTTAATCACACCCATCATTATATTCAATATTTTCCATTTCTTCCTCCTCCTCCCTACTGTGAATCTTTCCCAACCCATCACCAATAACAAATTTAAAAAAAACAAACAAACAATTTTTCTTCTTCCCCCATCGCTTTCATTTAATTCCAGCCGCCTTGTCTTCCAAGAATGGGGGAGAGGGAATGTGTCTGTCAATCCAGCCATCTCTAGCTCCAGGCATTGTTCTTATGCTTCTTTTCTTTCTATTACTCTATTAATATTACTCTATTACTTCTTTTCCACACTCAGATCCATCACTTGAGTCGGGCCCAGAACCAAGTTGATCTTCCATCTTACTTTCTTCACCAACATTTTCTCCTCCATTTTCTCTACTTTTTTTTTTTGAAAATCCAACCGCTCTTTTGTTGGTTTTCTTTTATGTTGTGGTTTAGCTTTAAGTTCTGGGCCCTCTCCAGCTGCAGCTCCTTGTTCCTTATCCGGATTTAATTCCTTCCTCACTCCATATTCACCCATCTGAAGCAATTCAGCTTTCATACTAATAACATCCTCTTCTTTCTCAATCAGCCCAAGTTTATGCAAATAATCAACAGGATTAATTTTAATATCAATTGTATGCATTCTTCTGTTATAAAAGAAATGTTAATTGTTGTGGAAATCTCCAATTATATTTAATGCCTTTATTTCTCAATAATTTTGTAATTGGCTTTAAAGTGTGCCTCCATATACGTTCCTCCTGATAAACCTCTATCTTGTCCCCTTCTATTTGAAGAATTTTATCTCCATCCTCTCTAATTTTTGACATCACTTTCAATTTATCATTTATACTTGCAAACTTAACCAGAACATTTCTCTTCTTTCCTTTATTACGTCTCATTCCAATTCTGAAGACACTTATTAAATCCTCCACCGTCATCATTTTGTCCATTCCAATTGAGTTTAGCCAGTCCAGTACTCTCTTTCGTATATTATCCACAGTTTGTTCAGAAATTCCTCGCATGACCAGATTGGCTTTCCTTACTCCTTCCTCCAATAGGCATAATCTCTTATCTTGTTGACAATATTTATAAACGAGATCTCCAATTTTTCCACCCATTTTTTTAGTATGTATTTGCAATTGATCAATGTCATCTTTTATCATAGCTGTCTCTGCTGCATATTTTGCAAAGTTATCATTAATTTCACCCATAAATTTTTTATATGTTTCTACATTTTGAGCTTTAATCTGTTCCAATTGTTCAGCTCTTTCTTTCTTTTCCTCCTCCATTCTTTTATTTAATCCTTCATCCATTGTATTTAATCTTTCAGTAATTTTATTAAAAGCCAATACTATTTGTGCCATATCAGTTGCCATCTGGGCTGAAGATTTTATACTCATATAATCAATAATCAATAGTCAATAATCAAATTGTATTTGTTTAGAGGGTCTAACAAGGGACCATGTGCTGCTTTCCAGTTTTGTATAAAAAGTCTGAGACGGTTTAAAATATTGGAAAAAGATAATCTGAGATTCCAAGTCACTTCCACTTTTACCACAATCTTTACAAAAAAAGAAATTTTTATCTTATTTTTAATTCCCCAGTCGTGTATTACTTCTATTCAACCATCCGATGGCAGCATCCACTAAAAAACAGTATCCACTCTCTCCTATGACTTCCTTCTGTATCCAATCACAATCAGCTTATTACAACATACTATCATCCGCCTTCACTTTTAACTTTATCGCCATTTTTGCTTGCAAGTCATTGTATAAATAATAAATTTCAACAATTTATCTTCCCTTCTTCCACCTAATCTTTCATTTCTACTTTTTTCCAGTCAGAGGAATTTTATTTACTGAACAAAGTTTCAAAAGTTCCTCATTTAAGTCTTCATCCTTTTTTTTTTCCGAGCGTTTTAACAACCACAATTGGAGTGCTTGATGTAATTCCAAACTTTACTTACTCCTCGAGTGTTACAAACTCCGCAACTCCGCAGGACTGATCCCCTTGGCTTAAAACTATCGTTACCGCCTCTTTAATGTCTTCAGACTGCCGGTTAAGCGTTTATCTCAATCCCCTTCCCCCACTCCCCTCCAGGCGGGTAAGCCCCCTGGAGAGTTTGCAGGGTTTCCGAGAACCGAGACGCAATCCAAACCAATTCTTAAAATCAGAACGCTCTCTGCTCACTTTTAAACTTCTTCTCAGCTTTTCTTTTACTGTGCTATTTCAAGTTCTTCCTTGCTTTCACTTTACTATGCCGGAGCGAGAGATTGGAGATGTTACTACGCTGGCATCAGGCCACACACCCCTATTCTATTCTATTCTATTCTATTCTATTCTATTCTATTCTATTCTATTCTATTCTATTCTATTCTACAATAGTGTGCTCATGTAACTGGATAACATATTGATTTACACCAAAACCGTAGAAGAATACATTGTCTTAGTACGCCAGGTCCTAAGCAAACTATTAGCCACCAAACTCTACATCAAGTTATTGAAATGCAAGTTCCATAAGTCGTAATTACACTATTTGGGATTCCGCTTTTCTCCAAAGGGTGTAGAGATGGACCCTGTGAAAGTAAAGGCCATTTTGGACTGGAAAGCCCCAAGAACACGAAAACAACTACAAAGCTTCTTGGGGTTTGCGAACTTTTACCATCAGTTCATCCTGTCCTTTGCTCACGTGGCTCTTCCATTAACAGATCTATTGAGGACCAAACAATTAGTCCAAAAGTCCAGGTCAACCAGTACAGTGGACATTTGCTTGTCAGCAAGCATTTGAGCATCTGAAGGTGTTGTTTGCACGAGAACCAATATTAAAACATCCAGACTCCACCAAGCTATTTGTGGTGCAGGCAGACGCCAGCGATGTAGCGGTGGCAGCGGTTGTCTTGCAAGCAAACAAGGAAGGAAAGCTGCAACCGTGTGCATATACCTGTTGTGGTCCGCCAGCAGCCTGCAGAGCTGGCAGCGGAGTCGGACAGTGAGGAGGCTGAGGAAGAACATGGGCCAGTCCTGGAGGCTGGGAAAGGCCCAGATGAAGGCTCTGTGTTGGAGGCAGAGATGGGGCCAGGGCCATCTGGGAGTGATGTGCGGACTTCGGAGCCTCCAGAGGCTGACATCAGAGAGGCAGAGAAACAGGAGGAGCCTGTTCCTAGTGCACTTATGAGAAGAGCTGCCAGAAGGCAAGAGCAGCTAAAGCAAAAGGGATGACTCGGGAGAAAGTCAAAGGACTACTTTGTCTGAATTTGTACAAAAGAAGTTTAAGTTTTGATATAATTTGATTATTTAAACAAAAAGGACATTAAAACTGATGAATTGAGCCCATACTTTGTAAAGTAAGGCTTGTAAAATAAGCTTGCAAAGCAAGACTATATCAATAATAATATAGAAATTAAGGCAATGAAAGTCTACATTTTGCTATGTTAATTTGCATGCAAAATGATAGAACATTTGGTTTTTCCCTGAAAAATGTCACTGTTCATAGTTTCATGACATTTAAAAGCTATTAAAAGATTATCATGAAACTAAACCAAACTTGGAAATGTAGCCAGAAACAAAAGAAAGTAGAACTATTAAAAATAAATAAACTCTGATTTAATAGACTCTTTAATTCATTTGTAACAAAAGAAAAAGATCAAATAGTAGAAAAGAGCTATCAAGGAGACATCTTTGCTATCAGAGCAATGTGTTCAGGATTGTGTAGTCTTATTTTAACAGTAAATCTCAAAAAAGCAAAAATGAGATAGTTTTTAAGAATCTATCTCCTTGGAAACAGTAGTTGGTAGAAAGAAACTGATTATAAGTGGAGGAGTTCTTGGTGTAAAGAGAATAAAACTGCCTACCAATACAAGTTGTTAATTTTTCGTGTGATACATATGAAACAACCTTACTTTGCTAAAATATTTATTTCAAATTCCCAAGGGATGTTTTTCAAGGAAAACCTTCTCATGTGTTTATCCTATTTCTATTTTTCTCCATGCCATTTTGAGTAGAACACCTCCATTTGTAAAATCTACAAGAGTTTATATGAAAAGAATACATCAGAATAGGAAGATTTCTAGCCACTTAAGCACTCTGTGGAAGGAATACTGGAATAACACACCTGCATGACAATAAGAAGGTCAAAAACTAAGATGAAGGAAGCCAGGAAAGCTCTTGAAACTTCATCACTTGGCAGAAATCCACGATTCAACTTGTCCCAGCTTATCCAGTCTGTTGTGATGATCAGCACAATCACTGAGGTCAAAGTAAATAAAACTGTCCTAAAAAGAAAAATTCAAAATTCAATTAAGATTACTAATTACTAATTACTTTATAGCTATCTCCAAAACAATTTGAAAATAACAACATAATTTTCTTTGTTATACTTAAAATACCATGCATGGATATTCTTGTAAATCAATCTTCTGCAACTAGATTTGTTCTATATGTGGTGGGCTACTACTCTATCATTCCTAGGCAGGTCCCCAAATTACCATTGATGAAATTTGCTGCTGCTACAAATAAATTCCAATGAGCCTGTCAAAAAACTGAGCAATGAGTGGAAGTTAGCAATAGTGACTGGAAGAATATTGTAGAGGTGACCTTTTCCTTTCCTTTCTCTCCCACCCCAGACCTGTCCAATACCACTGGGAGCATATGGGACACACAATCGTATTGAGGAAGATTGCATATGGATTTATTCTTCATGAATCACAAATGCATGACTCTGGGATGTCTATCTAAGAATGGGATAGTGATTATAAATCTTTGAATTCATTGGAAAGGAATGCTAGTATGTATATGAATGGGTCTACCACCTTCTTGCATTCAGAGAAGATCCATTCTTAAGTACTGTCAAGATCTTTAACATGTCATAGATTTGATAGAATTATCCATGTTTGGGCTGCAAACATTCAAAACAATGAGAGGTCCTTTTCACTTGCTTGTGAAAGTATATATATGGATCATTCATTGATATGACCTGAAGTATGTGTATGTACATACTCTCTCTATCTCTATCTCTCTGTGTCCCCTTCTACTTAGTTTCTGACTGTTGCCTTTGTTCTTACTCACTAGAATGTCAATTCTAACTGGCAGACTGTGAAAATATTGTCCTAGCCTTAACCAGCTGAAATCTTAAGTAGCTGATATAAAAGCTTAAATTATAGTTATATTACTTTCCCCACAATATTAGTGAACTATAACCATATTCATTAAACAGCAACTACTTACAGTAAGACATATATTAACAAATGAAACCCACAATTATTTAGGAAGGCAATTAATATAGTTTTGCCACAGACAACCACTAAATTGCTTGCTTTAGGCTCTCCTTGCACATTAGCTGTGAATCTCTGTTCCAAATATGCTTTAGAAATATTTTAGACAGTGAAAACGCTTACAATAATTCTGGATATCTATGCACATGTGTTATTATAGGGAAGATAAATGCATAGGCAGGTGCATAAATAGCAAGTAAGCAAATCAATATTTGCTGCGGTTTCCAGTTGGAGTTCTCATACTGTTCCCAGGCACTTTTTTACTCTCAATTCCTTCTTTCTTTTCTGTGAGTGAGCATAGAAAAATAAAGTACTGAAACCATTCTTTCGTATTTCCAGTTATGCCCGATACTCATTATTCTTAAAAATCAATGTACCTAAGAATTTATAAAAGTTGACAGATACTGAAGAAGCAGAAATATGCATATCCATATCCAAGGGATATTTTTCTAATATTTTCAAGAATCAAAAACGAAAAAAAAAAAATCATCAGATAAAACAATATTCAACATACTGCCATCATGTAATGAAGCAGGTTTTGATTGTAGCTGGTGTTATGAGTAGGTTCTTGCCTAATACATTTACAACCCTTTTTCAGATTTTTATTTCTTTTTCAACAGGTGAACACATGGGGACACTGGGAGCAGCACTGTTTATGGATTCATTTCATAGAGTGTGACTACTGCAGTACGCATATATGCTTATTCTTCATTATTTTTACTGTACAGAGCTTATATGTGCTAAAAGCTCTGATCATCCAAGATTGTGATATTATAACTTCTACAAAAGGAGGGTGTAACGACTTCCAGTTGATGTTGCAGCAAGAATGGCTGGAAAATAGCGGATTCCACCAAGCCTTGTGAAATCCAGCTGGTAACCGCTGTTCAGAGACCCAACAGGGTCATAGCCACCTTGTAAGAGCAGTGAAGGAAGGAGAGGTGCTTCGCTGACCACGAGGAATCTGCAATTTCCTCGTTAGGTTCAAAGCAAGTTCTCCCGAACGACAGCAGGTATGATGTCCATTTTTGGCAGTCACAAGCTGGGACAACTGGGACCACAAGATTTGTGCTGGAGCAGTTTGTGGACAGAGCATTGAAAATGGGTGAGATAATTACCAACTTTTAAAGACCTGATTTAAGTATAAGAATTTTAAAAGATAACTTCCAAGCCTAAGAAAGTGGCAATCAAATACACAGAGAGGAGAAAAAAGACCCTGAAAATCAAGAGGCAAAAGAAGCCCAAGGGAAGCTTTAAAACATAGATAGCTTGAAAAAAGCTTAAACAATTTGAAAGGTGATTTTCGGGAGAAATTGTCTTGTTTATTTGTATTTCTCAACCCCCTGGAGTTATTGGATAATCAGCTGTTTTTGACAGACTGTTTAACATTGGATTTGGGAATAAGAGAGCCATCTACTGGAAGAAGAGACGTATTACAGCACTATTGCCGCCATATACTCAGTGAAAGTGAATTCAATACACACAATGTCTAATACACAGAATAGAAGTAATAACATCTGGAAGATGACCTGACCTTGATTTTATGTTAGATGACGACTTGGATAATCTGAGAATATTTAATAAGGATTTTTTTTCCTCTTCTGAAGATTTCTAAAAGGAACTAACTTGCAAATAACTAAACTTTATTAAAATTGCTTATTGGATTATGGATCTGAAAGATTGGAGTAATCTTGTGGATTAACTTGGATTTGGACTATTAATGTTATTCAATAGAACATTCTACGAGACAAAAGAAGAAAGGTGATAGAAGAAAAGAGAAAAGAAGGAAAGTTAAATAAGACTTTAAAATTTGGACAATTGGAAAGATATATAATTGGAAAACTATAAGGCTATAATTACTAAATAATTTTAAAGATCATAAATTTAGGGGTTTTGGAGGTATAATTATGGGATTGATGAAATGTTATTAAGTAGGAGTTTTTAAATATTGAGACATTGGAACTATAGAAATATATTGAGTAATTTTTATTAAATTGTTATAAAATGAATTTACAGGGGATGATAGAGGCATATGAAGAAATATTTTTGATGCTAAAAAATGTGCGTGAAACTATAAAGAGCAATAAGGAGACAAGGGGATCATTTAAAGACACAGAAATGAATGTAGTTACTCAACAATTCGGGGAAAAAGAGGAACACAATATCCAAGAAATAGATGAGAAATTAGAAGAAGCAGTGAAAGGGAAAAATCAAAATGAGACGCAAGAAGCTAAAAATAAAGAAGAGAAAGGATTAATAAGTAGGAATCAATTACATAACTCCTTAAAAGTTTACAATAGAACAGAGGGAAAAGAGAAAAATCTCTTCAAAAAAAGAAAGATTTAGAGAAAAACAAGAAAAATCTCTCTCTCTCTCTCTCTCTCTCTCTCTCTCTCTCTCTCTCTCTCTCTCTTTTTTTTTTTAAAAAGGAAGTCTTGTTGATGGGTGTTCAAATAATACAGCAGAAAGAGACAAAGGGTATCCAGAAGGGAATGTTCAGTAGGCCCAAAAATATCAAAAAGAGCTACAAGATTCCAAGAGAGAGAGATAAAAGGCTGACTAAAAAGTCAATAAATGATGGAATTTTAAAAAGGTTAAGAGATGATGGATAATGAGAAAATATATTAATAAAATGGGAAAATACAGAGAAAATAGTAGTATATATATTAATAGATAATACAACTTATTATAACTAAAAATGTGTTAAGCTTAGTAGATGGAAATTTAGGGTTCAATAATTTAATTACTAATTCAGTATTATTAATATTAATTGTGTATTAAAGTATATTGTGAATTTAAAATATTAAGGATTAGAAATTGTGGGGATTTTGATATATACTCCCAGGATTGATTAAATATTGTTAATATTTGGCTTTATTAGTAATCCTACACATTTGGAATATTGAAGTTGTGGTGGAATAATGAGTAATTTTTAAAATATTAAATATTAGTAATTTAGTAGGGTATAACAAACACATGGCACAAAGAAATGTTATCTATGTTTAAATGAATTAATGGGAAAAATTATAACGAATTATGAATAGCATTGTTGAAGTTGTTTAAACAGAAGTTGTTTAAATTATTGTTAGGGTTGTTTAAAAAAGATTTGACCCAGTCAACACACTGCCCACAAAATATGTAATTAGTACAAAATCAGTCACAACATCTTTTATTTTCAATAATAAACTGAAAACATTCTCTAAGAATCTAGAGAATCCCCATCTTGTTACTAGTATAGGTTTTTAAATTTAAATACTAAAACAAATGAAACTATAAGTAAGATGTTGCAATAGAAAATAGAGTGAATCTTTTAACTGAGTCCATAATAACACCACCATGTCAAACATTTAATATATAGCAATCACCTTTTTCCCTATTTTTTTCTAAATTTAATTCTCTTCTGTTAGCCTACTGCTTAAATTGCTATTTCAAAGGCTTCTCCTATGGGAATTATTTTTGTTCATGTTGGGAAACTGCTGTTGATTTTCAATTTATCTTATTCTTCTGTGATTGCTATGGGGATATGAAATATTGATTTATAATTTTCTTACTAATCATATATCCTGGAATAATGTTTGATTGATATTTGACACTTCTATTTAAAAATAGTAACAAGGATGTGATTGAGTCTGAATTTTAGAAGCCATAACATTGTGCAAGACAATTACCTCTGCTGATGAATGACACAAAACTTTTTTTAATTGAATATAATATTTTGTATTTTATCTTCCTGTACAGTGCATAATTTTATATTGCTAATATTTGTATGTCTACATTATAAGGGGTTTGGTTGTAACATCTGTGTTTGATGTTTTTGGTTGCTAGCTTGGACTTATGACCACAATAAACAAAAAAAATCTGTACTGTTGCTGTTTAATGTCAGGAAGAATTTCTCTGTGGACTGCTCAGTCTAAATGTTCACATATCTTGGAAAAGGATGTTTAAATTTTATTTTGAAGCAAGGGATGAAGTGATTTATCACTTGTAAAATTAAGCAGTGTATA